AAAAGCATCATGCTTTTCTACTGTTGTTAACTGGTTTCCATGTAACTAAAATTTGTCTTAAAGCTCAGCATCCCCAGAAAAAATATTTTTCCTTAAAAAGCATGTACAACGGCCGGGCGCGGTGGCTCAAGCCTGTAATCCCAGCACTTTGGGAGGCCGAGGCGGGTGGATCACGAGGTTGAGAGATCGAGACCATCCTGGTCAACATGGTGAAACCCCGTCTCTACTAAAAATACAAAAAACTAGCTGGGCGTGGTGGCGCGTGCCTGTCATCCCAGCTACTTAGGAGGCTGAGGCAGGAGAATTGCCTGAGCCCAGGAGGCGGAGGTTGCGGTGAGCCGAGATCGAGCCATTGCACTCCAGCCTGGGTAACAAGAGCGAAACTCCGTCTCAAAAAAAAAAAGCATGTACAAAACAAAAATTATTTTGTTATCCTAAGTAATCTCGTTTTCCTCAGGTTGACTAATAATTGAAGGAAGTATGGTTTCTAGGAATGTTTGTATCATGTTTTACACTTAAAATGAACCTTAGGTAACTTTTCGTGTTAGGAATTATAAGTGAATTTGTGAAAGAAGTAGAGAAGATGGATTTTTTAGTTGTCCTGAAAATTCTCAGTTTTACCATGTAATAATTACATTTCATTTATATCTGCATGTGTATCTCCTGCTGTGAAATTGATTGGTTGTAAAGCAAGCCTCCCTTTCCAGCACAGAACCCTGTGCTCTTCTCATTTCCTAATATTTGTTGACTAAATGCAAAACATATGAAGCAATAGGGACTTTGAGTTGTTAGCAATGCAGGCTCCTCCCAAGGTGCCAGAGGGACCAAAAGGAGATTTTACTTGGCAAGCAATTCGTGCAACAGATTACAGAAGCCTCTGCCAATAAAAGGAGATACCGCCTAAGGTGGCCATTGTTAACAACACTAAAACTAGATTATCTGCCTGCATCTGCAAGTGTAAGGCAGAATGTGCATTGTCAGTTCCCTCTTTGATTATTGCAATTCTAGACTAAAGATGAAATTATCAGGCCATTGTTACCCTCATTTCATTTAGGAAAGAAGTGTTACAAACATTACTAATCACTTTCTGGCAAAGCAAAAAGGCAATTTTTGGGGGTGAAATGTTAGCAGATATCCTCTGCGTAGCTGAAAAGTCAAGATAAAATAAATGAGATAAGCTACAAAAATAGGCTACCCAAAGTTATGATTTATAAATATATTGCTGATGGGACAGGTTTTTCCTCAACTGACCTTGAAATTGAAAAGTATCGCCCGCATATGGTCAAGGTTATCAGAGATTTTATTCTCAGATGAACGTAATTGGAATATTATGAGCACAAATAAAACTATAATAATGATATTTCAATCCCAAATACCTTTTGATTACTAATTCAGTTTCCTATAATTTAATTTGGAGGTAGAAATACCCTAAACATAGACATATTCCCACCAAACTATAAGGTATAGCCCTCTTTGTAGTTTAGTACTGGGTTTATCAGCTAATCTCTTGGGAGTTTGAGTAGCTTGAATAAGTCTCTGACCTTTTGAATAAGTTGACCATATAAATTTGTCTGTATTCACAAAGCTGAGATCCATTTCCTGGATTCACCAAAATGCAGACACTCATGAGGAGCCATCCAATCTAACTGAAACTTTATACTGCCCATCCAATATGAAGTCTTTTTTTTTTTTTTTTGGAGACAGAGTTTCGCTCTTGTTACCCAGGCTGGAGTGCAATGGCGCGATCTCAGCTCACCGCAACCTCCGCCTCCTGGATTCGAGCAATTCTCCTGCCTCAGCCTCTTGAGTAGCTGGGATTACAGGCACACACCACCATGCCCAGCTAATTTTTTGTATTTTTAGTAGAGCTGGGGTTTCACCTTGTTGACCAGGATGGTCTCGATCTCTCGACCTTGTGATCCACCCACCTCGGCCTCCCAAAGTGCTGGGATTACAGGCTTGAGCCACCGCGCCCGGCCAATATGAAGTCTTAAAAACAAAGTAGGATAACAGGCTATCCCAGTTTTGCATTTTGAAAAAATTGAAAACTTTGGAACATTTGAGGGAAAGTTGTTAAGCCTGACTGATAATGAGCATAAAATGTAAATACTTTGGCAATGGCAAATAATTCACTTTTTAAGAAGTTACAACCTCAGCTACCAAGTAAACTACTTTATTCCATGTTGTAGTTAACAAAAAAAAAAATGAAGGAGGAGGGAAAAGGTCATATAATAATCTGAACTCACTGTAGTGATTTAAAAAAACAAAATCCCATACTTTAAAAACCTTCAAATGATGCTCTTTTAATCCAATTTTAAAATTGGGAATCTAAAGCCCTGAGGTTAAATGACTGTTCAAGTTAATCAGTAGTACATTCAGATTTTATATTTCTATCTTTTGTTCTCATTGCTCTGTCTAATCCAATTGACGGAAAATCTCTCAGGACTGCCAAAATCTCTCAGGGACTAAATAAGTACAGTGGTGGCTTTCTTGAAACAATGTAAATTATATACTGTACTAACTCAGTTGGTAGAATATGAAACTAATCATCTCAGCGTTTTAGAGCCCATTATTTTTGTGGTTAGGAGAGGAAAGATATGAGTTAGATTGGAATATGAACTGGCAGTATTAATACCTAGGCTGTGGTAACCAGCTCTGGCCCCAATTAACTGTAGGAATTTAGACACCTTTTCTATGTATCTGAACTCCAGTTTCCTGTTTTGTAAAGTGAAGGGAAACTTTATACTTATTTAAAGTTTCTTCTAATGCCAAAATTCTGTGATTTCTTGTAAACCTTCTCAAATGCAAAAGTACATTTTTAAAAATTCATCTTTAAAATGCATCTTTAAATATTTAAATTAACCTTGAGAGAAAGATGATTTTGAATTGGTTCCTTCACTTTGCTTATTACCAGAAAGTATAAGGGATTCCTACGGATTATGACGTGTTTTATGACAAATCAACTCTTCTATACTGACATGCGATAGGAAATTACTGACAACTTAGAGTAAAAGACAATATCTGAAGATCTCAGGAACTACAATCTAATCCACTGGTAATGTACACAAGGCAGGACATCAAGAGACCTGGAAATTAACCTTCTGTGGCCTTACGCATATCAATTATGGAGCCTCTATAAAAAGCTAGGCACTGTGTTTGCAGTCAAAATAAAAAGATAACAAGATAGAATCCTGGGCCTCAAAGAGCTCACCATCTGGTGAGAAAGGTAGCTAAATAAACCAGTAATCGTGATAGAGTTCCCTTACTGCTGTGACAGAAGTAAGAGAGCCTCGCAGTGAGTCTCAAACCTGATTACACATAGCCCCTTCTGGCCCCCTGCCTGGAGCATCTGGCAGCCCCACACCTGCCCTGGGGGGTTGCAGTCTGCCCCCTTCCTGCCAGACCGGAGGGGCTGGGGGGATCCCAGCAGGGGGAGGGCAATCCCTTCACCCCAGTTGCCAAACAGACCCCCCACCCCCTGGATTTTCCTCCTCCCTCCATCCCTGACGGTTCTGGCCTTCCCAAACTGCTTTTGATCTTCTGATTCCTCTTGGGTTGAAGCAGACCAAGTTCCCCTGAGGCCTCCCAGTTGTCGGGGGAGCCTGTATTTTTTTTTTAACAACATCCCCAATCCCCACTTGTTCCTCCCCCTTCCCATGCTGCCAACTTCTAACCGAAATAGTGACTCTGTGCTTGTCTGTTTAGTTCTGTGTATAAATGGAATGTTGTGGAGATGACCCCTCCCTGTGCCGGCTGGTTCCTGTCCCTTTTCCCCTGGTCACTGCTACTCATGGAAGCAGGATCACTAAGGGACCTTCGATTAAAAAAAAAAAAAAAGACAATAAAAAGACTCATTAATGAGAAAAAAAAAAAAATGGGGGAGGGGCGGGGGTGTGGGGAGGTGGGAAGAGATAGCATGAGGAGAAATGACAGATACAGGTGAGGGGACAGAAGGCAGCAAACCACACTGCCATGTGTGTACCTATGCAACAATCTTGCATGTTCATCACATGTACCCCCAAACCTAAAATGCAATAAAAAAATAAAAAAAAAAAAAGAATTTCCTGAAGAACTTTTTAAAAATATGATACTTTTGCCTTATCACTCGGTTACCATGATTTAAGTTATCTGGGGTGGACCCAGTAGAATGCTGTTTTTCAAAGCTCTTAAGGGGATTCCAATACACAACTATGATTGAGAATCAGTGGGATAGAAAGGTAGCAAATTTAGTCTTAAGACAAACAGGCAATGGTCAGGGATACAGGAGAGAAGTATCTTCCCACTTTGTACATGAGGCTAATAGAACTCATGATACATCGGGAGAACTGTAAATATTAATAGTTCTGTTCTCTGTGGAGTCCAATGTGGGATATATGAGAGAAGGGGGACATAGTGAAAGATGAGACTGAGAAGCTAGGCAGGAGACAGATCATTTATGGTCTGTGAAGGAGCTTAGACTTCAGCAAGAAACCAGTAGGGGAGTGACATGATCTCATTTATCTCTTATAAAAGATAGCTTCAGTGGTACTATGGAAGATGAATTAGAGGGACTAGAAGCAGGGAAACCAGTGAAGAAGTTTTGGTAATCCAGGCAGGAAGGAGGGCCTGGAAAAAAAAAAAAAAAGTGATACTAGGAAGGTGGATGAAATTCAAGGAATAGATAACAAGGGGGCGGAATCAACAGGGCAGTTTGACGTTTTTGGTGAGAGCGTAAGAGAAGTCTTTGGCATATAATTTTACTTATTTTGTACCTACTTTTTCTCATTTTCCAGTGGTGGATCTGTCCACAATTATGTACTTCAGAGGTGGAGAGGAGCTCCTTTTTATGGGCTTAGTAAAAACATATTATATAATGTGGTCATTTCAAATCCAAAAGCTATCAAAATAATCAAAGCCTGTTTACAATCCCTAAATGACTGCATTCCATACATGTTTAAGGCCAAACATCCAACATTTCCACCCAGATTGGTGGTGGGATAGAGGGAAAACAGCACTAAAACAAAGGTTTGAGAGATTTTAATTAGCACAAATGGCTGTGCCTAGTCTTTAAATCTGTCCAAAGCAAATGGAGTGAAAGCCGCCTAATTCTTCAGTGCTTCATCCGTCAGTGACCTCAGAAAAAAGAGCCTCCCTCCTGCATCATCAAGCTGACTTCCTTTAGCTCCTTGTTGTTCTGTGTAGATCTTTGATCCCAGAATTCTCTAAGGCAGGAAAAAAAAAAAAAAAAAAACAGAGGAAAAAGGACAGCTAAAATATTGAATACCCTAGCACCCACTTTGCAAATCACTACAATATTAAATTAGAATATATGTTAAGAAATGCATTCCAAAAATCTGTACCCACTATCTATTCAACCCCTTAAAACGATTTTTTTTGTTTGTTTGAAGAAAGTAGTTCTCACCACATGATGTTCGTTTCTGCCAGTAGTCACTCTGTCCATAGTTGTAGTGCCCATAGTACCTAAGGGGAAACAGGAAAATGAGAGCTTCTTTTAAGGGGTGTGGAAACTAGCTTTGTTTGTTTTCTATCACTGTGAGTATTAGCATTGATGTGAATTTTCTGTTTTCTTTTTTTTTTTTTTTTAATAACTTTGTCAAACAATATTTCAGAAGTTGGAGTGACAGACTGTTTTTCTATTTAGAGCTCATATCCCACAGGGGGAAAATAATTTGAGAATTATATGCAATTAAAGAAGTGGAATAATAAGTTATGTTTATATATACATACTCTCAGATAACCCAGATAGATATGTTTCACAAAAAATGGTCAATTGTAGATAGTGGAGAATAAAAGATAAAGGTGAAGATGGGGAAGAGAATGAGGAAGCAGAGAGAATGGCAGGCAGAGGGTGAGAAGGGGAAGAGAGGCAATGAAAAGGATAAAAAGGGGCCGGGTGCGGTGGCTCAAGCCTGTAATCCCAGCACTTTGGGAGGCTGAGGTGGGTGGATCACGAGGTCGAGACCATCCTGGTCAACACAGTGAAACCCCGTCTCTACTAAAAATACAAAAAATTAGCTGGGCGTGGTGGTGCGTGCCTGTAATCCCAGCTACTCAGGAGGCTGAGGCAGGAGAATTGCCTCAACCCAGGAGGCGGAGGTTGCGGTGAGCCGAGATCGCGCCATTGCACTCCAGCCTGGGTAACAAGAGCGAAACTCTGTCTCAAAAAAAAAATTTAAAAAAAAAAAAAGAAAGAAAAGGATAAAAAGGGAGAATTGTAGGGTGCTAAATAGGACCGTAGTGAGTCTGTTCAAATTAAAATTGCCAGACTAAAATATGGGACTCCCAGTTAAATTTGAATTTCAATATAAATACCAAATAATGTTTCCTATATCTCATGAAATATTTGGGATACACTTATACTAAAAATTATTTGATGTTTATCTGAAATTTAGATTTAATAGAGTATCCTTTTTTTATTTGCTAAATATGATAACCCTTCCCTAGACATCCTGCTTCACTCCTGAGTGTGTGTGCCCACAAATTATGGAATCTGTTGTTACCCATTAAAATAGTATTAATAAGGATACAGTTATTTTGTCAAGCTTCAAAATTTATATTTAGGAAAAAAAGTATTTATTCTCCCCCTGAGCTTCTGTGAGGTCTTAAGGAAGTAGAAGCATGACTTAGTTTAGAAATTAACTTTATAACCTGCTAATACCATAAACCTAACTTTGACATTCAGAAGGTTCAGGTTGCCTCAAAGCTTAAAAAAGCCTATACCTGAAAGCAATACAGTACTACTTATCAAGTACCCAGATTTGAGCTAGCTGTGGTTTTCCGCCTCTGCCTTTCAGCATTTTAGCTTAACACTACTATTTTCCCTTCAGCAGCACCTGCTGAAATGTAGTTCAGCCATCAGGAAGAATAGTACAAAAGTGATGTAAAGGTTAAAGCTGGGAAGAATGACTTGCTTTCAAAACAGAAGGAGTTAGAGAGTAAATAAGGTCTCAAGAGTATACATTTCCCACCTCACTGGGCTTTCATCTGAATTTATAAATGTAGCATAATACTCACATCCAACCTTCAGGTTTTTCTCAAAAGAGCTCAAGGAAATGCTAAGAGTTGGTGGGGGTTGAGGTAGGAGAGAAAAGCAAGACTGTCAAAATCAAATGTCTTAACAAAGTTATATTATTGCTGAAGATAAACCTCTTCTTCTTCTTTTTTTTTTTGAGATGGAGTTTCGCTCTTGTTACCCAGGCTGGAGTGTAATGGCGCGATCTCGGCTCACCGCAACCTCCGCCTCCTGGGTTCAGGCAATTCTCCTGCCTCAGCCTCCTGAATAGCTGGGATTACAGGCACGCGCCACCATGCCCAGGTGATTTTTTGTATTTGACAAATCTCTTCTTTAAACACCAGCAGATATGATGGGAAATTCAGTTGAATTTAGAGATTGCTTAGTGTCTGTGCTCTCTAAGATAGGTGACTGCCAAAGTCCACAAACTTGCTCTCTGGACTCTGTAGAAGTTAGGGAGGACCTACGATACACCCTGAGTCAAATTATAATTTTATACTGGTGGGAAAGTAAATCCTTTCAAACGTTACTCATCTCCAGAAAGATCAAAAGTAAAGACTTCACTCTAGGTGTAAACAAACTAAGTGATGCAGTATGCCAAAGAGATAACATAGACAATGGTAATGCTACTTCCTGTGTGTCAAGGGAATTCACAAGTAGGGATTTGTTGAAGTGTAACAAAATAATATTAACAAACACAAGATGGTATTTTGCCAGCTACACAGATCATACCACTGCAACTCAGCCAACCAGCACATAGGACAGTAGGAGGAGAAATTCTTGGCTGAGTAGAGAGGTAAACCCTTCCTCTAATTGGAAATGGTTGGAACAGAAGAGCCTGTACCCTTGATTTACTGGGAGGTGTGTCCAAAATTATACCACATGCTTTGTCTAAGACAGGTTTGCGAAATTCAATTCTTTTGAAACTAGAGAAAAAGGAACACTGTCCCTGTAACACTATTAAATATACAGACTTCAAATAAGCACCATCTTGTGCAATTGCCCAACCCATTTTTTATTTTAGAACCCCAATCGCCTGATTTATCTGTGGTAGAAGGGAACACTATTCTACAAGGATTGTGGAGGAAGTGGGCAGTGACTGTTTTTTGAAATGGAGAGAACTGTGGTCCAGGGAGTAGAATACTAGGTAAAAATTATGCAACAGAAACACTGAGTTTAACATGATCCAATCAAGGCTGCCAGTAATACAATTTGGTGCCAAAAGAGGATGTCATAAAACATCAAGACATTTTTTTCTTTTTTCATCTGATATATAAATGTGGCACCTTTTGTCCTAAGAGTAATGGAAGGCCCATCTCTCCCACAGCATTTCACAGCTCCTGAATTACCACTCTGTGGACTTGAAGCCTGAATGTGGTTGGTGCCACCTACTGGGCTAGATGCAGAATTACCAATCTCTTGCTGAACAAATTAACCTTTCACTGGGAAGATTATATGTTAAACAGAAAATAAATTTGGATTCAAATTACAGCCTTTAGATCTAGAAGAGGCATGAAAAGTCACATACTTTTACACATTCATTTTGTAGCATAGTCTAGGGAATAAAGATTGAATATGGAGCCAGAAGCCTGGCTTCTCTGTGCTTGTTTCTTGTTCTATAGTACCTTTTATAGAGTCATTGTAAGGGTTACACAAGGTATTATGTTATCAACATGCTCCGTGTTAATGTTGTTTGTATGTTTAAAAACTGAAATTAAATGACTTTCCCAAGTCATATAACTGGTGAGCCTCAGAGGAAGGCCTAGAAATCATGTATCTGAGTCTAAATTCAGTGCTTTTTCACTTAAATTATAATTTTCCAAAATTTGATGGTGAGATAATTTTAATTGGCAATTGGGATAAATTTGGGTGTTGGAACACAGAATTAAATAGTATAAGTCACAGTGAGAAAATTATTTTCAATTATTTCAAACTTGATAACACCAAGAAGAAAGTTGCAGTTTGGTGCTGACTTTCTTTAAAATTCTCTCTGTCTTTCTAATCTCACTTCCTAATACAGATAAAATAGATCTCAGATTTATACAATTTTCTAGAACATTAAAATCTTGTTTTTTTGTGTATTATTGTTTACCTTCTATTATGGAAAACTATAGCAATTCTTCATTTAAAATAGTAATACAAATAATACAAATTTTATTCTCAAGGAACACATTTAAGAAATTAAAGAAGTCAACCTAACAGCAAATATTGAATAGATAATAGTCCAGATGATACATAAAGTTGGAAAACACTGCAACATCCACCATTAAGAAATTATTACTGCTGATAATAACCCTCTTTACATAATTACTTTTAAAATCGTTCATTATGAGGATATTTGTTTTCTTTTCAATAATCAAATAGTAGAAGTGAAAAAATAGGCCATATAACCAAAATTTAGGAATCCATTAGATTTCCAATCCACTTGGGCTCAAACCTGTAGAGTTTGAATACATGTGTTAGAAAATGAAACTGACCCATAATTAGTGTTAAATGAATGCAGAATCAGTATAACACACTGATCGATTGCCTGTGGCTACATTAATTTGTGGTAACAGAGCAGTATAGGACACTATCATTTAATTCTCCAGAAGCATAAGAGGAAAGAAGAGAAAAAGTGTGCATCTGTGGCTATTCCAATTTAAAGTTGATTCAATGTTTTACATGCAAGGGGAAAAAGTATCCCCTGAGGCAATCAAGTTGAATGGAACCCTTCACTATTTGCTAATTTAGACTTAATTTGATTCTGGAACTAAAAATCTTTTGGCTCTTTAATCCTATAGATCCCTCAAGATGACCTTCAGCTAATTTTGGATGAAGTAAAACAGGGACCTGTCTCTCTTCCTTATAACTTTTTTCTCCAATTTTAAATTTGTATTTTAATGATTTAATACTGCTTGTGGTTGCATTCCAGGTTTCTTCCCAGTTTTGTCCTATTGTTTGTTTGTTTGTTTGTTTGTTTTTGAGATGGAGTTTCACTCTTGTTACCCAGGCTGGAGTGCAATGGTGCGATCTCGGCTCACTGCAACCTCCGCCTCCTGGGTTCAGGCAATTCTTCTGCCTCAGCCTCCTGAGTAGCTGGGATTACAGGCACGTGCCACCATAACCAGCTAATTTTTTGTATTTTTAGTAGACACGGGGTTTCACCATGTTGACCAGGATGGTCTCGATCTCTCGACCTCATGATCCACCCGCCTCGGCCTCCCAAAGTGCTGGGATTACAGGCTTGAGCCACTGCGCCTGGCCTTGTCCTATTCTTATTAGAACATAAGTTGATAGAAAAATATGCATGTAATACTGCCTGAAAGATAGTCAGTAGTCTTCTAGTTTTCTAAAATTTACCTATGGATTAAGCCAGACCAGTAGAGTTTTATGTACCTGAATCATCTTGAGTCAATTCATCACTTTAAAAGAATTAGATTAATATGTTTTTATTAGATTATGCCAAAGAACAGAGGAGAAACAGCCTAGGAAATTTAGATTCTGAATTTATTTTGAAATATTGTTGAAGACACTGGCTACTATCATCACACAAGCAATGTCCTGTCCCCATCATAGGGACCTGGATGAAAAATTTCTCTCAGATTTCAATACCAGGAAAAACTTTGTTTCTTCATGAATTTCACTAATCAATGTTTCTTTTTACTGGAAAATTCGGAGTCAAATTTGTAGCCTACCTCTGCCAGCTGTGTAGTACTCCCATTATGCATTCTTGTGTATTTACCTGGCTTCAGCTTATTTTCCTTTTTCTTTGATTTACTTATATGTTTATTTAACCCATGTGTTGAGTGTGATTTTTATAAGCTGTTCAAACCCTTTATGAAGTAAGACTAAGAAATGAGAAACATACATACTGATGCTGATAGAACATTGTCATTCCTTGGCCGTGATTTCCCATTGCCTGTCCCTTTATAAAAATGGAGTTCATATCCGTAGATACTTGAAAATTTAAGAACCATTTTCCCTGTCCTCCGAGCCATCTCTGTATTCTATTTTTTAATGAACTATATCATTTTCTCTAATATTGCCATAAATTCTGTGGAGGAAGTCGCTGAAACTCTTAGAGGGACAACTGGATTGATGAAATTCACAACCATTGTCAGATGTCTCCTTGGCCTTCTGCTTTGAAGTAGCAGAGTCTATTCCAGCAAGATTAATAAAATTAAATAATTCTAATTCCTAGAAAAGGGGATGGGGTAGAAAGGAAACATATTTTATTGTGCTAATTATATGTCAGCTACATATGCTAAATATATAATACGTTACTTTATCTTTACAAAGGAAAACTATTCTTCCAGAGAGAATCTTTGCCTTTGTACAGGAGCTTCTGAGTCATAATAATAATGATAATGAAAAATGTATTACTGTACTTTTATTTATTATAGTCATTGTATTACTTTTCAAGTAAAAGGATCTCCAATGTAAAACAAAACAAAACAAAACCTCAAACTGTGTACCTGGGATATTCTACCTACCTTGGGATCCAGGGAGATTTAAAAATGCTTGCATTGGCTCAAAATTCTGCTGCAAATACAGTGATAATTTCAGGTCATTGGCCTTCTGGTACTTCTTCAAGGCTTCAATTCTCAGCTCAATCACTTTGCCACGAAAATCATTCTGAAAGGGAACATTTTCAAAAACTACATATTTAGTATTGGCTTTTCTGAATCCTCTTTATTCAGAAGTTAAAAAGTAATTTCATCGTGCTCAGGCTTTAAAAGTAGAGTAGAAAGTATTTGTGCTTCCCCCCCCCCCCCCCCATTTAGAATAGAATAAAATCAAGAGCATAGGAAGAAATACTATTTATTCCAAGTTGCCTAGGGTGAAGCCAGAGATAGGTCCCTTCAGCCATCTCTCTACATTTATTTTAGCAGGACTATTGGTTATCTAGGTTGTGGGGATTGGGCTTCACAATATGCAGCTAAAAGCCTTTGTATTATATGAATAAAATTACATCCTGTATCGAGCCTTAGAAGACCTGAGTACCTGAAGGATGTTGTTTTGTTCCTGATACTTGACCCATTCCGTTTTCCTCTGTTGCTTTTCCTGGTGGAAGAAAGAGCCTCTGGTTGACAAAGTAAATTGAGATCAGAAATCAGTTTTCTCAATATACTGCAAAAGCCCAGTAGCAAAATTATGGTGGCACAGATTTACAATTAAATTGGTTTTAACTGCACAATTCTCTTAATTGGCCTCACCTGTACAAACCACCTTATAAAAGCTAAATGAATAGGGTTATTTTATGTTGGTGAGTTGGTTATGGGAAGATGAGATATAAGCATAATACCACTGAATATATTTTCAAAGACAAATTAACAGGAGTTCTGACATCATGTAGCTGTTGCAGAGTTATCATTGCTGGTATAGCTTCTCTGACTTTTTCCTAATATGATTTCCCAGAAACTTGTGATATTACTCTTACTCAAATATAGTAACACAAGGGAACCAAATCTATAAAAATTTGCATTGGTTCAAGAACACACCAAAGCTTAGGCAAATTACTGCAACATTAAAGATTTCTAATTTATTAGCTCTAAAAGCCACTACCATTCAGAATGGCTGTACTGCTTTCCTTATCTCCTTCACTTTCTCTGCAAGTGATTTCTCCAGTTCACTCTTGGTCTTCCTAGGTGACGAGGGGGATTTGGGAGCCTGGGATGAGAAAAGAGAGCTAAAGGAATAGGAGGTCCCAGGAAAGAAATGCAATGTCTCAGCAGGCCATAAATCTAATACTCTAAAAACCCAGATCCTACCTATCTGTCTACCCAGATTAGCCCTGATTGTCAACAGACTGTTTCCAGCTGTGTGACATCAACAGTCTTGAAATTCTAAGTACCTGCAGTCCACTTGCATTTCCATCCTGCAAGTCCGCCTTGTTTTTTATCTCTGGTGCTCTTTGATGATCACTGAGTTCTTCTGCCTCAAATGTCTGTGGAAAGACATTTTTGCAAAGCTTTAAATTAATGGAAATTAAAGAAAGAAGTGGAAAACCAATATGGGTCAAGGCTTTGGTTCCTGCCAGTCAGCAGGTTCTCAGGACCTGACATGAAACATGTACTACCAAAGGGAATTCAGAATGTTGTGACCCCTTCCTTTCATTTGGTTACTTGAGTGTACCTTAAAGGAATGAAAATGATTAGCTGGACCCTTAGCCAGTCACTACTCTAAGCTACTTACTGTATTATTCTACTTACTTTCCTTACTGTACTATATTACAGACATTCTCATTTAATCCTCACAGCTCTTTGAGGACTATTTTTATTTCCGTAGATGAGAAAATTGAGACTTGGAGAGGTTATTTGTTTAGGGTCACACAGCTAGGAAAGTACAGAGTTGAAATTTGAACCAGATCTTTCTGATTCTGAAGACTCTGTTTTTGACCCTTAGGCATGCTGCTTTTTTCCATTTCTCCTTACTGAAATATGAGTAGGGAAAGTTGATCACAACTTAAGTGTATGGATGTCCTTTATTTTAAAAAAGTCTTTTGAGAGCTCTGTAGAAGCTGGATTTAGATAGAGGAATTGTTCTGGCACATTTCCTATTACAAGGACGCAAGAACCCAGGAACTAAAACTTCTGACAATTCATAGAACTAATTTGTAACTGCCAATGAGAACCTGGAGTAGATCTTAATACAAGATGCAGGGCTTGAAGGTATTCTGATTATTTGTGGAAAGGTGAGATGAGAAAAAAAAGCAGACAGAGATCACACTGTATAACTGTTTATATCACAAAATACAATCTACTCTTCTAGTTGCATAGTCTGTGAAGAAGCACTTGGGTTCCAAGGGATTAGTCTTGGACAAGGGACAAAGGAATTCCTTGTCCCCTTCCCCTGACTCCTGGCTCTGGATTCCCAGCAAAAGGCCCTGATATTGTTATCTTAAACAATGCAGTGATTGTTGTAAAATTATAGGTGAATTAGAATTAGGTATTCATTTGTTTCTTCAACTTACATTTATTGATCTCTACTATGTTCCAAGAATTGTGCTAGTAGCTATAAATTCGTACAAAGCAATCAACATACTGAAGGAGCTAGGAATATACTGAAGGAGGCAAGTAAACAAGAAACAAGTCAAAAAGTCATAATTATACAATAATTTTGTATTATAAACAGTGCTATCGAACACGTGAACATAGTTATATAACAGAAAGGAGGAAGAGGATGCCCTGCTTTAGATGGAGCAAACAAGGACAGCCTCTCTAAAGGAGATGACATTTAAGCTGAGACCTGAAGGATGAGAATGAACCAACCATGATAAAACAGCATTACAGGTAGTGGAGAAGGCAAGAGCAAAGTGCTTGAGATAGGAAAGGGCTTGGTGTGTCTGAGAAACCGCAAGAGGCCAGTGGCATGATTGCATAGAAAGCAAGGGAAGGACATCTATGAGAGGAAACTGCAGAGTGGGCAAAAGCTAGATTATGCCACAATGAGTGGCTGTAAAGGTTTTTCATAAGAAGAGTGACATGCTTTGATTGTTTTTAAAAGATCAGTTTGGCTGCTGTGTAGAGAATGGATTGGAATAAGGCATGGGTGGAAGCAAGGCCATGAAAAAATGAGGACGGGGGCTAGAGAAACGGGAGTTTTTTTGCACTGTGATCTGTAGGACAATAGCTTCAGTAGATCCTTAGAGGCACACCTTGTTCCATAGCATCTCCATTTCCTTCCGAAGCATCTTGTTTTTCCTTTCCTGTTGGAGGGGGAAGAACCAAACAAACAGAAGAATATATTTGTCTAGCCGTTGAAGCGAGTTTGGAAGAAGTTACTGAGTAATAGTAGGAAAAGGATTCAGGAACATAGTAAACCACAGAGGAAGGCAATGAATGGGCCTAGCCCCAAATCCAGGAGCATAAGAGATGTTTGATGATGAGGATGATGTTTAAAAAAAGCCAAGTTATTTTAAGTAATAACTTTAATTATAATAGTTATGAGACAGTATAGAAATGAGTTCCTAACGCTGAAGATATTCTTATCATATGGCCATTTCTTAGGGGCTTAGACCACTAATTTTTAATTTTTAAGATCCTTTATATTGCTGATTAAAATAAAATCTTATAAGAATCCTACAGAGCAAACTATTTTCTTTTATTTATTTTGATAAGTATTTTCTATTCTTTATAGTAAATATTTTACTATTCTTTCTGAAACGTTAAGGGTTAATATGGTTATAGTCATTTACTCCCTAGATAAAAAGCTTTTAAAAAGTCAAAGAATATAATTTTTGCTAGCTAGTCCTATTCTTCCCAACATTCCATCTGACTCCCTTTGGGTCACCCTCAACTTCGTAGATCAAGTCGATATGAGTGTTGGAGCATCAGATGCTAGAAATGAGTATTTTGTCTTTCCCTCTACATCTGACACTGCAGTGGATTTGAGCCCTATTCAGGAGGCTGTTCCTGGAGTACCTCCAGCTTCTTACCAGGTTCTGTTTCATCTCCTCTGCCTCCTTAAGGAGCTCCATGACTGAGGATTCCTCACACCTCTTCCCTGCCATGATCTGCCTCATGATCTCAAGACTAGAAGAAAAAGAGGAATCATAAAACATATATACCTCCTTAAGGGTAATACTGGTATTCTGCAACCAGTCAGAAAGTACTCTACCATGAAAGTTAGATGGGGACTGAAACCTCAGGAGTTATGGAAGCCCTTCTGGTCATAGAAGATCTCTATAATAGGATGTTTCAATTTCTAATTGACATTTGCCTATCTATGTGTTCTAGAATGAATTCTGTGCTCTTTAATGCTTAGGTCTCCAACAGTCAGGGAAAGTTCTTTCCACCCCCTCAGAAGAATGCTGCCACGTGTGACTTGGGAGAAGAAGGGGTAGTTCTGTCTCCTTTATAAGAATCGGAGGAAGAACCTGCTATCTTCTAGGATAAATCCCAGAGTTATTTTCTACACATCTCTGTCCACTTTCTCCCACCTACTTGCTTCTTCATATAAGGACATTTGAGTCTATTGAGGAAGTCACTGATATCCTTTCATAGCCCCAGAGAATGCATGCCATTAAGAAGTGCTAATAAAATCTGAATCAAAAGTCTTTGTGAGAGAGGATATTTCTTAAAGGCATATGTTATTTTATGTTTGTGTTCTTGTACTTTTTTCTCGCCAGTTCTAAGCAGAGAACACAATTCTAAGCCTTTGTGTTTTCTTGGCCCGAAAGAAGTCTATGTTGCTGAGTTGTAAGCAGTTGGTGCTTGACCATGACTTTCTGCCTGGGTTTTGTTCTTCAAAAATACGAGTCCTTTGAGATGCTTATGATAAGGGTTTAGAATAAAGGTAGACTCACTGAGGTGAGATGTTCTGAGACTAGAAAGGAAACAGAGTTTGTGGGTTCCAGGTACAGTGAGTGCTCTGATAAGGAGTTAAGACTTCAGGCTACGTGGTATATTTAGAGATGCCCCTAATTCAGAGGGCTCCTAAGCTTAGAAAATACTGCCATTCCACTGCTTGACATAGAAAGAACAGAGTCATTTATTCTAAAGTGATCCACAAACATGCACAAGAAAGCATCTGTGGGACCGTGGTAAACTAATGCTATTAAAGATGTTTCACTATTTCTTGGGTGGACAGCCTGGGAAGTAAGAATTATAACTGTAGCCCATGAAATGAGGGGTGAGTCATAAGAAAATAAAGGATTTGTTGTCATCTTGACTTTGTAGTTAAAAATTATTGGCCTTCTACAGCCAAATGTCAAACCTTTTATTAATTAACAAAAATTGTAAATAATCATTGACAATCCTATGGAGATTAAGTTCTCCAGCTTTTTTACTTCTAGGAACCCAGAGTAAGAGCTCGTACCTCCTTTGTTTTTCCTCCAAGTTAGACATTAATTTTTGGAATAAGAGGTTGTTGTTATCTTCTAGAGGTTTGAGCATCTCTAGCAGTTCTTGTTTCCTTAGCTTCAAGTCCTCATTCAGTTCCTTCAAGTAATTGTCATCTGTTTGAGAACTTCTGTGGGAAGAGACATAATAATATCTGCCTTTAGCCTGAGTTAAGAGATAGAGAGACCCTCTTTTCCCTCTTAGATAGTTACAATTTAGCATCTTCCATCAAAGACTCACCTTCTTTTTGAGGGCAAGTAAGATCCTGAAGAGTTTGCACCACTTGTCATCTTGAAGGGTAACTTCTGAGAATAAAGAGGCCTTCCTGAAAATATGTGCCTTTTTCCCCCTCCAGTTAAGTCATCATTTTTGTGCTGTTCTTCTTGAAACCCCTGCTGCAGTGGACTGATCTTAGCTACAGTGAGGTCACAATGGCTCTAATACCACATAATCAACAGGTCTTTTAAGTAATTTCAACAATAATGGCAGTTTGTTGACTGGAAATACTAACTACATCTGATCAGGTCTTGCCTTATATCTAGCCAAAGGACAAAGTTTTATTCTAAAGTCTTTGAATGAATAGGATAGAATCACATCATATCTATATTATGAAATTCCTTTTGTGTTAGAAACTGTTGGACTGTCACAAATGGGATCAACACCATCTTTCATGGAAACAAACCTCTGTGAAATGCCACTATCTGTAGAGCATGGTAACTTATTCTGCAAGTGAAGAACAGATGAAGACACAGCATCTACCTTTTGGGGGCCTTAGGTGGAAGAGAGGCTACTTCTAAGAGACTTTTTAAAAAAAAAAAAAAGAGGTCAAACTGGCTAATACCAGGGTATAGATATAATAGAATAATATATGAGCCACTGTCATTATTTTTCAGTCTTTAAAACTTGATATTATTATAATGGCAAGGTAAAAGAATATTAGACATGTAGCAAGAGGATTTAATTTGTGAAAGATCATATAGTCAGTATGTTCTTCCATAACCATACTCTTTTCTGAAAGGTTGTATAATAATTCTAGCCTCCTTTCAAGATTTTCTGGTTCTGCTTCTATTTTCTTCTTTATTAGAATCACATTTCTTTTGGACCTTAGGATCTCCTGTCTTCATCTGTGTCACTTATTGGAAGATAACCCAGTGATACATTTGTTTTTTCATGCCGTTTAAATACAGTTTTAGAGCAGTATTTTTAGTAAAGATCTCAAAATGAGTTAAGTCATGTAAACGTCAAGTATTAACTGAACATTTTCAGCTATTTTCTAAGGGTATTCTCCAAAGTAACTTAAACCCTTTATCTTGTGGGAAAAATTAAAGGCAGAGTATTATAATGGAAATAACACAAGATTTAGTTTGTCAGACTTTGGTTTGTATCTCAGCTTTAATGTGCGTAGTGAGCTGTTTGTGAGCAAGTTACTAAATTTTCTGAGTGTCAGTTTCTGCTTTTGTAAAAGAGAAGGGTAATATTGAACCAGATAAGTTCGTTGTGAGCATAAAATGTAATATTATGTAAAGAGCTTTGTTCATGTTAGGTGTTCTCGTTTTAATAAGTTCATGTTTATTAGGTGTGGGTTTTAGGATTGCTTAACGCCTCAGTTAAGTGGTCAGATACAAAAGACTGATTTATATGAGGCTGATGAAACTTAAACTTTAGAGACCTTCATTTTCACAGACCTCTTCCAAAGGCCCTGAACCTCATTTTGTATTCTTTTTTGGAAAGAGAGCTCTCCAAATTATATATGTTTTAGGGGCCCACAAAACAAAGATCTTCTTCTAGTTAGATAGGATACATAGCTCTCCTAAGTATCATCTACATCAAAACTTCTTTAGAAGTCTCTATTTTGAGGAAGAGTAATGCTCTGTTGCCCAGGCTGGAGTGCAGCAGTCCAATCTCGGCTCACTGCAACCTCCACCAACCCAGTTCAAGCGATTCTTGTGTCTCAGCCTCCCAAATAGCTGGGATTACAGGTGTGCACCATGACACCCAGCTAAATTTTGTATTTTTAATAGAAATGGGGTTTCACCATGTTAGCCAGGCTAGTCTTGAACTCCTGACCTCAAATAATCCACCTGCCTCGGCCTCCCAAAATGCTGGAATTATAGGCAAGAGCCACTCTGCCTGGCCTACGAATACTTTTTCTACAACATACATAGGTCATTTGTAAGTTTTGTATGATACCTTATGTAATATGATGTTAAATTAGGATAGCCATAATATGTAATTCACATTGGTTGCCCTAGGAATTCCCATGAAAAGTTTGGATTGAATGAGGGTGAGAAAACTCCTCACAGTTAAAAAAAAAAAAAAAGGAACTGCATACGTGACAGGTGGTAACAAATAGTAGAGGAAAAAATGGCATTGATCACTGAAGTATTGCCTCTCTAAATTTCATATTGTGACACTTGGTTGGCAGAACTATGTGTCTGATAGAATTTTAAAACATTTAAGGGGCAGGTGACATCCCAACCCACTTTCATTTCTGTTTTTGCTTATGAATGATTCAGAGAGGACGAACACTTGATATATATTTTTTATTTTATTTATTTATTTATTTATTTATTTGAGATGAGGTTTCGCTGTTGTTGCCCAGGCTGGAGTGCAATGGCACAATCTCGGCTCACTGCAACCTCCGCCTCCTGGGTTCAAGCAGTTCTCCTGCCTCAGCCTCCTGAGTAGCTGGGACTACAGGCGTGCACCACCACGCCCAGCTAATTTTTGTATTTTTAGTAGAGATAGGGTTTCACCTTGTTGACCAAGATGGTCTCGATCTCTTGACTTCATGATCCACCCGTCTCGGCCTCCCAAAGTGCTGGGATCATAGGCGTGAGCCACCGCGCCCGGCCATTTATTTATTTTTGAGAAGGAGTTTCACTCTTTTTTCCCAGGCTGGAGTGCAATGGCGTGATCTCTGCTCACCACAACCTCTGCCTCCTGGATTCAGGCAATTCTCCTGCCTCAGCCTCCTGAGTAGCTGGGATTACAGGCATGTACCACCATGCCCAGCTAATTTTTTGTATTTTTAGTAGAGATGGGGTTTCACCATGTTGACCAGGATGGTCTTGATCTCTTGACCTTGTGATCCACCCACCTCGGCCTCCCAAAGTGCTGGGATTACAGGCGTGAGCCACTGCGCCTGGGCCCCTATTTTATTTTTTTTGAAATGGAGTTTTGTTCTTGTTGCCTAGGCTGGAGTGTCATGGTGCAATCTTGGCTCATTGCAACCTCTGCCTCCCAGTTTCAAGTGACCTCAGCTGATCCGCCCACCTTGGCCCCCAAAGTGCTTGGATTACAGGCGTGAGCCACCACGCCCAGCCTCAAGTGATTCTCTTGCCTCAGCCTCCCGAGTAGCTGGGACTACAGCCGTGTGCGACCACACCTGGCTAATTTTTGGTAGAGATGGGGTTACACCTTGTTAGCCAGGATTTTCTCAATCTCCTGATCTCATGACCCACCTGCCTTGGCCTCCCAAAGTGCTGGGATTACAGGCATGAGCCACCATGCTTGGCCAACACTTGCTATTTTGATGTGCTCTTTTCTGTAGCCAATCAGCACCTTTTATTTCCTGACATTCCAATGCTCATTTATTAACTTGCAATATTAATTCCAAAAAAAATTGCTTTGTAATAATGTATATAGAGGTTGTAGCGAAGAGCTTATAAACCAATGAACAGTATTAAGAGGGGATAACTGATGCATGATAATGTCCCATGCAACAGTGGGGAGAGCAGATTAAGGTGTAGATGACCATTGAAAGTGGAGGGAAGGGAAACTGAACACAGATTTTTGCTGATGTAGAGGGTTAGGTCATCTCTTGATTGAGGAGGTGTGGCAAGAGACCTCAGAAGAGTGATGACACGAGATTTGGAACAGCACCTGAGCACTGGAAAAGGAAGCCAACAAGCCAAGAGTAAAAGGATTTTCAAGTAGTGCAAAGGGTCAAGGTGAATTCAGAAATTGCAGATTTGGCATGGCATGAATCAGCAGTTACACAGTTTTCTGCAGCAGTACTTGGCAAACTAGAAGCAATAGTAGAGAGAACCAGATGGTTGTTTGACTCTGAGCTGGGACTTGGCAGAATAGATAAGCAGAAGTTCAAGGGAGCACTGAGAGTGCTGGTAAGAGTATCCATCAAAAGACTGATTAAAGTGTTCAAGCTAAGCAGTAAAGAAAAGGAAGGGGATGGTTAAGAGAGGGGAAACCAGACCGGGGTCTGTTATTTTGGAGTGTGGGGGTGGAAGAACAAAGGTTATGGTCAAGTGACATAGTTCTTATGAAATAACTTGTGGAAACTCATCACTGTTTAGATAAATTATAGTAACAGTTCATAGTTTTTTTCTGCAGTAAACTTTCTATCTGTTGCTTCCAGTCACTGCATAATATTCACTGAAATTCATGTGGTCTCTTAAAATAGGTCTTATAATAAGCTAGTCACAATGACCTCATCCAACATTATAGCATTTGACTTTTTAGTATCTGTTGAGAAAACATGTGATTGCTCTATAATTAGAGAACTTGGAGCAATACCATTTAGTATTTTTGCCAGTTTTGCCAGTGGAAAATCAGATTAGTGTAATTAAGCCAGGTCTCCAAGAGTAGAGGCAATTATTTTTATATTAAACAAAACAAAACATAAAAGGAGATGCTTTTGTATCCTCAGCTTTGGTTGTGGCAACAAAATTAGAGAATTCCTCAAGGAGAAAACATGAGGACCTTCTGGTCCTGTCTGATCCAGAGCCAGTTTAACCCTTGGGGGAATTATAATAATTTCATTAACTAAAATAAGGAGAGAAGGACTGGCAAGATCCTAACAGCAAGGCTTGTTGGCTCTTAAAGATCTCCCACATTTTGCTGTTTGTTATGAACATTTTATTGGCTCCTTCTCCTTAACCCTTGCTATAGCTATCTCAAGTCAGGCTATACCTACATTTAGATTGAATACAGGTAGTTGAGAAGATTGAGATCAATGTTGGGACTCTTTAATTCTCTGTAATATCAATGAGTTCTTTTTGAAAGTAATTCATTATCTCAGTGTGTTCAGGTACATTTCACAATGGTCTTCAAACTGAGGTACATGAACTTTCCCCAAGACTCTTTGAGAAATGGGGAAGCAAGAGTAGTTTGTAGAAAAGCTTTTCTGAGATTCTCAATTTTCACAAATACTCTTTACTAAAATGAATCTGCCTGAAGATGTCCGTTGGCCTCTTTGCCCAACTCCCCTTTTCCAATCACCCTTCACCGCCTTAATAAAAGAATGGAATACCTTTCAACCGTCTGGAATCTTACTTGGGCTTAGTTTAATGTCCTAGAGGTTTTTACACATCCCTTTTATACATTTAGAGCATTGAACTCGTCATATTTTAAAATGTTGGTGCTGGGGTTAAAGAGAGTAAATGGCTGTTAATG